TTATTTAAGGCTCCACTACTACTTTTTTTTTTTTTTTTACTAAACTAAACAATATCTTAGGCAATCAGACATACTTAATGTGTGGATTCAATTTATAAGATATGAGGTGAAGTAAACAGAGTCTTAGTTAAATCACAATGATATTGCTTTCATAATTATTGTGTTTAATGAGTTTTACAGGTTAACTAGGGTTAACTCATAAAATGGTGCAAACATGGGTATTTTTTCTACAAAAAATAAAATCTAAAGCACTTTTTATAGTAACTTGCATTGGCAGGCATACATATCCAAATAGTGGGCCACATTGTAATTTTGTCTTGCTTAATAGACATTGGAAGACAGCATAACTGCACAAATTGTGTATGATTTGTGTTGATAGAAATTGGAAGAGAAAGAAATTATTAATAACAAACACATTCCTTGGTAGTAAGCCCATGTGACACCTTGTTTGAGAAACTAGCTAAATATGCTTTTTCATTATTAAATTTTTGGGTTTTTGTTTGTATTTTTACTTTTTTTGCTTTTCTACAATTTTTCACTCATATTTTAATTTCTTTATACAATTTTGTCTTTGTCTCTCAATAATATAATACATTACTTTTATCAGATTTGATAATAAAAATAATAGACTACATTATTAAATTTTCAAAATAATGTAGTTACAATCTTTTAATTATCTGGCATTCAAAGATAGAATTAGCTATAATATATAATTCATAATCTAATTTAACATCCCTTGGTCCCAGATATTTGTTAATTAAGTACAAATTACTTTTTTTTCCCTACAAATGTTAGCCACTTTCATGCATTGATAATTTGATTAAAAAGATAAAATTAAACAGCATTATATATCAAAGTTAAATTTTAAGTAATATTCGAATGACACATAAATGTGAATCAAATGAATTGTCTAAAGCAGCATATATATTGGATCAGATAGAATACAACAAACTTTTATAAATTTATACTTTAGCTAGTCTCGAATCCATTCTCGTGTTATATATGTTTATATGACGCTAGTCAAATTAGTAATATGACAACAAAATTCAGGCAAAGGTAGTATTTAAGGCTGATCTTTGATAAGCAAAGTTAGTAGCTAGATTGGGATATATTATTCAAAGTTTTAGTAAATTTCACTAATTTTAATCTCTCATTTTTCCTAAGGCAATTAGACTAGTGGGAGTTGGTACTAGATTTGGAAGAACTTGAACTAAAGTAAACCCAATATTGTTACCTTTTAGGCATGAGAGCATTATTCTAAAAAAAAAAACCTTTCTTTTTGTCATAATATATCAAGATCAAATTTATGTTATTATGCTATTGACCAAGTTATAGCTGATTTAGTCTAGCTTATCGTTGCTTCCACACATGCATGCAGGTCCACTACCTTTGTGCTACCCATACCACCAATATTATCAACCTAATGTTCATTGACTTTGAAGCTAGCTACAAGATAAGATCAATGTTGTCAAAAGAATGTCATTTTTTTTGTTGTTGTAATTACTATATGTTCTAGAAAGATCAATTTAAATTGTGCAAGTACCACGAATCTCAATTTTGATGTGCAGTTAAGTGGAATTCCTTGTCTTTATAGAATTATATTTAAACTCATACTTGTATATTAGTATATATTAGTGTAATGTTTTGTAATCATACAATAATTTGCAAGACATGCAAGGAGGAAGGTTATATCTTGAGCCAAGCTTTAATTTGTCAAATATCTCTCAAATCATTAGGAGGTTCTATTATATATCCATCAATTTATCGCATAATATGTACATGTGTTAATTTAAACGTTTTCAAGGAATATTATATTAGCATGTTATCTACCTAAGTTTTTTAATGTTTTTATTTCTGGTCATGTTAGAAGGGTCACCTTGTAGCAAGATGGGATACTTATGGAGTCGTAGTTGCTCGGAATTTGTTTGTATGGATCCGTTTCTCCAGAGTCTTGTAATTTTTGCAGATTCTGATTTATAATATTCCTATCATATGTTTTCCTCCAAAAAAAAAAAAAAAAAAAAAAAAAAAGCGTTCTCAAGGGTAGACTAAAATGTCCCTCTTAGACGTTTGTTTGTGATGCATCTTAATTAATGTAGTACCAAAACAACTATATATATGCTAAGCTAGACTTCCTTGCAATTAATCTATTGCACTATCTATTATACGATGTTTACTCTAGTATACAAATACAATAAGCTAGGCAACCTTCCAGCCGCCCTATCTCTCACATTCCAGCTTATTGGTTTTCAAGAATCACGTGAGCAACTAATTACATAGACTCTATTTTGCTTTATTTTATATTTTTATAATATAATAATCCTATTAAACCAGCACCTTTCACAGGTTAAGCCGGTACAAACTCTGCAAGTTAACGCTTGAGAGTAGAGAGGGGTAAGGGAATTCCCCATCTCCCAAACAAATATAAATGGAGGCTGGAACCTGTGACCAGGCCTCAAAGTCATAAGGTGAGTTAGACTAAATTCTACACCAACTCTACCAAGTATGCTTAGTTAGGTTCAGAGCCTTGGCGCCTTGCGCTCTACCAACTGAGCTAGACGGGCTTAGTTAATCTATTTGGCTTAATTTATTTCTCCAAAATTATACTGTACTACTTCGTATATGAACTTATTTTCTAGCTAAACTATATCAGTACAAGTACTCCGTATTTAATCAATTCTCAAAGTTGATAAGTTTTAGGATGAAACCTTCTTTAGACATATAAGTGATCTAAACTTCTCCTTTTTTCTTGGGTAGTAGTCAAATATCATTTTCATGTTCTCTAAAATTTGTAATTCAAACCGACCAAAAAGTTTATCTAATTTACATATAGTAATGTTAATTTTTCTCCTGTAAAGCTATGTAGTTGCAATTTAACAATAATTGATGATATAGCTTAAGATCCGCTTTACATTGAAATACGATCTAATATTCATATTTTTTATCTGTATTAATTTCAAATTAGTAGATTTCCCCACCATAAAATGTCGCATGCAAACCTTGAAATTTATTATTTCAAATAGCAAATATCCCAGAAATATGGATCTCATTTAACAACCAACAAATCGCCGCGGCTAATTATTCATTAATATAATTAACTAAGAATTAATACAACCAAAAGTATGTTAAACTAAACCATATTATATTATTTATATCAGGATAATTATTAGTAGTTATTACGATAATTAGGAGCTAATTAAGTAGAACATGCATATCAGGATAATTATTAGTAGTTATTACGATAATTAGGAGCTAATTAAGTAGAACATGCATACATGTTCTGCAGCTGTTTCTTCACTAATTAACATGCAAAAAGTAATACAGCGTATGTAATTTATTTCCTTAATTTTTTCTCCTTAAAGTGTTGTCCAAATTTTTATTATTAGGATAAAGAATACGATCTTAGTTTGATCTACATTATAATTGTGATAATTAGTTTAATCAAAGGATTATTTTATAAAAGTCAAACATATAAATCTCACATGGAACCCTAACTTAATCTGTATGCATGAAGAAATATCTAGCTCTTGAAGCATGCATCATGTTATGCTAAGTGCTAATTAATGCAAAGTACTTAATTAACCACTTGTATAGTCCTCATATATTAATTTACCTTTTGATTTTCCTTCGATAATTACTCCCTTTGTTTCTTAATATTTGTCTACATATAGATTGATTATTCCATTTATATAGAGTAAGATTTTGACGATGAGTCTTCATCGCTACATATATATGAAAAATATATTAAGGTGTAATCTTATTATACGTCTCGATATATAATTTCAACATGTTAACAATTTTATAATAATTTGGAAACTACATATATACAAGATGCAACTGTACTGTAATTATAATTATGGATTTTAACGTGTCTAGCTGAGCCAAGCCGAGTTAGGCTTGATAAGAGATACAAGAGTTCGATTGGGTCAAGCTCAACTAATTAAGATTGTAATTTTCCTATTAATTCAAGTTTGGTTTGTTTGAGATTTTTATTGTTCGAGCTTGGCTCACAAATAGCTTATTTAGGTTCGAACACAAGCTGAGCTAGATCAAAATTACACGGAGTTTTGATAAACAAGCCTTTATCAATCAGCAAGATAACAAACATATAGATATATCCACACACACACAAAGTTAATAATAAAAAATAAGTTCAGCTTTGATAACAAGTATATGCATAGTAGTATTATACTTCAATTCGCATAAAAATAGAGGTAGTGTAGATCCAATCGAATTCAACCCAGTCACTTGAATTTACAACTCTATTATAAATTTCTAATATAAAATAAATTTTAAGAATACAATTTAAGTTTTTTGGAAAGTAACAAAAATTAGCATAGACATTGATTTTTCTAACCTTAATTTTAGGGTGTGGTCGATGTACTTATAAATGAATAACAATCATTTCAATTTTATTTTCAAGTTTGAACGAGCTTTTTTATTGGTTTATACACAAATAAGTTGTTCACGAGCCTAATAAACATGTCAAACACAAATTAATTTATTAAATAAGGTTGAAATTTTGTTCTATGAGTAAAAGTTTGTCCATTGTCGTTGAACGTGCTTTTGACAAGCTTGTTTATGAGCTTATCAACTCATTGACATCATATTCCTAATAACATATATGCTTGAATGTATACACTAATTAAAAACTAACAATGTAAAAAGGCAAATTAAGCACAAAGATAACAAGGCGCATAATCTACATACATGTTTTTATCGCTCATAACACGTTAAAAAGTGATCGAGTACACAACTTACATTAGTTGATACATACTTATAACTTTATTTTACTTAGCTTGGAGATAATGCAGATGATTTAACTACAACAAATACTCAACAATAATCATAATTCAAATGACTAAAGTTAACCATTGGGAACATAGTTAACCCATAGCCTAATAAGCTTAATTAGAAAGCACAATAGTAGATGTACTAAAGTTAATAATTACTAGCAACATTTGCCAATAAATTTAGTTAATAGCATAAGAATATTTAGCCTAGGGGATGATTCCACTTCCAAGCCCTCCACCACCACCGGTAGCACCACCACCAAGACCACCACCGGCACCACCAACACCACCGCCAAGCCCTCCTCCGGTTCCACCCCCACCTCCAAACCCAACTCCACCTCCAAACACGCTACCAACACCCAATCCAGCATGACCAAGACCTATCCCTAAACCGAGCCCTCCTCCTGTCCCGATTCCAACCCCACCAGGGAGGAGAGGCTCACTAGGAAGGAAGGTCTTTTGCTCATCAAGTCCACCAACGAGCTTCCTAGCCTCAATGGTGGTGCAAACAAGGGCACTCATGAGTACTAAAACAACAATTTTGCTAGCCATATTTTTTCTTACAATATAGTAATACGTTATACCTAAATGGATGATGTATAATGTAGCTCCAAATAAGGGCATATATATAGATGTATAGGTACTTTACGTATTAAATTTTCAAGGCAACTAGATGAGGGAAAATTGACAAATTCAACACATCAATTTTTTTCCTAAGTCATTCGATGCCCGTGCCACCTTTGCCCTACTAAATATGGTAAGTATATATTATGTTACATCATATATATGCTCTGAAAACTACATATGACCATTTTTTTTTCCAAATTTAACAGTCATTTTTCCTTTTCATAGTAATATTTATGGTCGGGATTAGTTCTTTGTACCTTCGACAAGAGTTATAGTACAAAACATTAATTTTGTTAGGTTTGTACTCAACAGAAACATCGTGAATACTACAATTATGCATTTCCATTTATAGTAAAGGAATATATGACATAGTAAGCGGTTGGAATTGAAGAGAATCACTTGATTCCTGTTTTCTTTTTGTGGATAAATCGAAGTGCGCGTGGATGGGATAGTTGCTACTTGCTAGCTAGATGTATATTGCAGTATGGGCGTCACATAAATCCGTTGGTTAGAGCTTACGGGGTATATAGAATCAAATCTCGGCTATATCATTGCGTTTTGTTATTCTCTCTACTCTAAAAAACTAACAATTTTACTAACAAAACGATACTATTTACTTGTATAATCTGGTTTGACTATTCGAGTTTAATTTCAAGACACTAATTAATAAAGAAGATTATTTTTCTTAGAAGCTACAAACCATTCTACGTACTTTCAACATGCATGCTTACATAGCTATTATAATGTTCTAATATATATATATATATAATGTATCTCTTAATTAGTTAAACATGACTTTCATAAAATTAGCTAAGAAAGAGTAAGGTCTAGGGAAACATCTTGAACACCAGCTGCCATAATCCTACATGATGAGTTCCAATCTAAATTAATTTCAGTATTCAAGTTTTGATCATCATCTGTTGCTAACAATAACGACAACGATAACGACGATGATGATGAAGACGTACATCCAGACACTTCACCTTGCTTGTAACCCTTCTGCCAAAAAAAAAAAAAAAAGGTTAAATAATGAGTATTGGGCACTTATATAGGAAAAAGATCCAGCAAACTTATATTGGACTCTTTTTAGCCCACAACAAATGGGCCTGACTGAAGATGATGTATAGACAAGTGGGCCACCTTCTTCTGTAATACTCATATATACTTCGAAAGTTATACCTTAAGTTCATATTACGTTATCAATAAGTCCCTCCTCTAGCTTTAGATCGTATATTACATATTGATGTTGTAGGTGTAGCTATGTCACATTCTGTCCCTCCCTCCCTAATTTCTATTTTATTGTTTTAGTTTTTCAGGGCCTAGCCCCTACCAAAAAAAATAATTAGGTTATCAATTATATTATATCACTAATAGTCTAATTAATACATTGGTCCATTATTTAGCTTAACTACATCGTAAAATTAACTGTTCATATAAAAAACTAAAAAAAATAAATAAAATCTCTTGGATTTATATTTGTATGGAGTATATAGGTTACAATTGATAATGGAGACAAGACTCAATTCAAGGCTAAAATTCTTCAAATGTAAGATTCAATAATTTTACCAGTTAAGCTAGCTAACTAATATATAGATCGAGTATATAGATATACAAAAAATTGCAACACTTACGAGATTAGGGCAACTATTGAGGAAATCGTGGAAGCATAAGTAGGGATGTGAACGTTGTATCGTGTCACCTTGCTTATAAGTGGTAGCTATCTCTTGATGAGGAGATGTTACCATGGAATTACAACTGATGGGAATATTTTCATGGGGTGTAAAATGATCATGAACAAGTATATTTTGATCAACCAAGGCCTTAAACATGGGTATTTTAGTTTTTCTGCAGTGAAATGGACGTGAAGGAGTGAAATGAAAGTTTTCCTGCATAATTGTACTCATCTTCGGATCTTCAATTATATCTGTCAAACAAAATTCAAGGCAACAAACAAATCAAACCGAAACAAACATTTCCAATATACGAAGTATTTTTCTTTTTTTTGGAAGAAATATAAAAGGAGATAACATTATACGAGTAATTAGTTTTTTTTTTTTTTTTTACATGGTAAGATACGGGGGGTGTCCCTCCTATCACAGGAGGGGTGGGGTGAGGATCGAACCCAGGTCACTTCTGGGGAAGATAGAGGGACAAACCGTCCCTCCACTCCATGATCCTCATACGAGTATTTATTTGTTGAATATTCGAAAAATAAATATTTTTGGTGAAAAGATACTTTTTGATGAAATTGTTTCATAATTAAATTTTCATGTTATTCTATAATAAAGGAAATATAGAGGATGTATATTACGAAGTAAATGTGATGGATTATATGAAAACCATTTTCTATCTCTCTCTCTCTTTTTTTTTGTTCTTGACATAATTTAATACACCATTGCACGATGATATTTAGCTTGTTCTAGAAGTGAATGGACATATATTATACACAAACTTCAATTATTCTTATAAAGAATACATAATCTATCATTTTAAATTTACAACCTTATGTCGCTTCTTTATATCGATCTTAATAGTTATATGGTATAACTTGGTTGTATATCTAGCTTTACAAAGGGTCGATGTTACACTATTATGAAATTGGTGTTATCGATCATTTGTCTAGAAGGTACATTCAATCCTTTAAATTCCTAATCCTTCATTGTTTTAATATATCCATCATACTTCATATATATATGCTCAATAAGCTTATTCATGTTTGGGGTTTATCATCATAATCAACCATCGTATTAATACGTAAATGTGCAAGGATGTAATACGAAGTAAAAAATAAACGCTTCTTTAAATAAGATATCCTATAGATGTATACACAAAGTGACAGAGATAATATAAAAGATTTATTTGGTATATTCATTTTTCCTTACATTTACGTATTTCTTAATTGTTGTTCTGTTAAGTACTCCGTAGGTTTTTTTTTTCCATAATTTGGTTTCAAATTTATATAATAAGCCCTAGATGATAAAATCATTAAATCTATAGTATATTTTGAAAATTACATAGTTAGTCATAAAAAGAGGAACTTTCGTAGTAGTTTGAAATTAATTCGTCAATTCTTTACTTGGTAATTTCTATTCTATTATTCAATGTTCAATACACGTGAAATTAAACCAAAGTCACACGAATTTGGCTGTTTTTGGGCATATATTTTTGTGCATTTTAAAGTAAAAATAAAATTCCACAACTTGATTATGGCTCCACTTAATTTCATGAAAATTCCAAGGCAGAAATATCGGATTCTAATTACTTTTATTACAAGGAATATTTGAACAAAAAAACATTCCTCTCGTGTAAGAAAATTTGTCGTATGTATGACCTTACGTAGGAGCTCTTTCATTAAATTTAGTAGAGACTATAGACGTATGAATAGTTCGTTGTAACAAAATGTTTGAAAATATGTATTAAGAAAATTATATACTTGTATAATGTAATATTGACATTGCTTAATTATATTTTATTGCCTACCTACAACAAGATTAATATTATATATTTATGGCATAGTATATTTTTTTGAAGATGAACAGATGTTACAACAATAATAATTTTGAATGTATGGCACCTATCTTCTTTGATTTTTCCTATATTTATTAGTTTTAGTATATTTTAATTGAAGACTTTTGTTGATTTCATGTATTTTTCTTCAAAATGAAATGATAAACGTACATATATAATATTTCACAATTATTAAAAAAAAATACTTCATACTTCTTTGGGACATTCGCCATCATATTTGATACTCAATCTTAGGTTAAATTTTAGCGGTTGTTTAGTTTAAAAAGAAAAAGAAACTTAATTAGTCCGATCAACTCTATAGTATATATTAATTAGTTACGAGTATGTGCTTAAAATATAATTAGTAGACCTAATGTGTACTATCCAATCATTACTGTAATCTCTTTCATATTTATTCTTCAATATGTATGATAATTACCTTGCCAACATAAGGATATCATACAGAAAATAATTACCTCTGATAATTTGCTCTTGCTTCATGCTTCTATACATCTATTTTACAAATATAGAATGTGAATAAATTAGAATTATAGGAGACATGAAAACTATACAACAAGTATAAAAAAAATTGGTTAATATAATTTTATTGATTAAATAGAGTACCTGAAGATGACTCTTCACATGAGATAAACTTATGCCTTTCACCCCCATTATTTGCAGAATCATTTTCGGAGTAGCCCCTAATTAACCATTATCACGTTTATTAGAAAAAGAAAATAATAACTAAAAAAAAAGTAAGGGATTTCACTGTACTCTTGATTAATGGCACATATTTCTGAGATGTGTGATCACTTTGAAGTACCTTAGACTATATGACTTGATTATTGTTACACCTTTAAAGTTTGATTAACTAAAAGATATAATTGACATTATTTCAGCTAACATTTTGATGAATGAGAATATATATTTACTCGATCAATTGTGGATATGAGCTAACGTGGCTGTTAAATTCTGGGAGGTGTCCGTTACCTCTAAAACAAATAATACCTCCGTTTCTGAAATTTGACTCACTTACTATTCATGGGGTCGAAATTAAATAACTTTGACCACATTTAATGACTTATACAATATAAATAAATTAGCATATGGGATCTTATTAGATTTCCCTTATTATAAAATTTTCAAATATCAACTTTTTTATAATTTTCACTTATACATAGCCGAATATATTTATGGTCAAAGATGTTCATTGGAGACCGCACAAATGTAAAGTGAGTTGAACTTTCAGGAACGGAGGGAGTATTATATATATGTATCATGTTCTTATTAAGGACTTTGATCTAAGGGAATGGTTCCTAGCTAATAACAAAATACTCTCTTTATCTCTAAATAATTTATCACTTAAAAAATTTTAAGCGACTTTATCCATTAATTTTTAAACACATACAAGTATTTAT